CTATAGGCTTACGACGCTAAACATCACTTAACTACAACCATCCATATGACACACTGTTCAGAAATCACAGACTGTTTTTTTTAGTTGCTATTGTTGTTTTTCTAGCATCGACACATGGTTGATTTGCTGGATACTCTTTTTAATGATGTGAGGTAACCTTATAGTAATGCGCACGTGTAACAAGTCGAGCAAAACAAACGCTGCCGTGAATAATTTGATGTTAGATAGGTGCCGAAGAAAATTGATTAAAAAATAAAACAAAGATAAATCATGTTTGGGCACCAGAAATATGTTTTAATCTTTGTTGTTTATCTTTCTTTCAAATTGCGTGAATTTTGTACTATTTAAATAAGACGGATATGAAATGTAAGTTGACCTATATGATGATTATGGGAAATTTATTAGGACATTCTTTGAATGCTTAGTTACAATGTTCACGTTATCGAGAAATACTGTTGAAATCAGTTAGACTGTACGAACTAGACAAGTCCGGCATGACCTCGTGGTTAAAACATGTTCGTTCTTTTCTCGCATATGGACGTTATAACGCCACAATCAGTTCCACTATTCATTGGTAAAGAGTAACCTAAGAATCTATCACTTTGAAATTAGAGACTGCTATTGCATGTCACCCTTGAGAATCTTTGCGCGAAATTAAACACAAGAACTTGACCTAAATTGTATTTCAAGATCATTTTAGTCGTGATCGAAAACACATCAACAAATAATAGATAAAATATTGTTTTTCTCTGGACTGAACAGAAGATGAGTGATCGCGTGCCGACGACCGGAACTTTCCGAAAATCTTAAAGAGTTTGTTTAGGACTAAAAACCCTATCGCTGTATCAACTGTCACCGAAATGCATCTTTCTAATGTTTGTAACACGGATATATATATATAATCACTTCGACCACTAGCAGTTCTGTGACTGATATAATCAATAAAAAGTTAGTTCAAGTTAAATTCAACGCCAACCCTTGCTTACAGGGCACGTATTAGCCGGTGGTAAACTCCGGTTTCAGTGCACAAGTGAATGAGAATGGTGACACCACTCGTGTGGAAGTAGACTGCTTGTTTATGGACGTAACATGTCGCGAGCAAAGCCTTGAACTCTCAACTTTCCACCTACGAGTCCAAACCACTAGTAACTGGGCCACACTGCTTCCTAGTTGAAATAGTGGTTGACGCTGAATACAGAAAGATAAACACAAACTCTTTCTGAAAAAAACAACAACAGAAAAAAAAAAAAAACGCGTTGAACATTTTTTTTTGTTTTTTTCAGATGTTCAAAACAAGAAATAAAAATTTTTGTCTGTCATCACATATCTGCTTTACATGCGTTTGGCATGTAACTAGGACTGCGTAAGAATACTTTTAGAGACACTTGTTTGTTTGTTTTTTTGTATTTTTGTGTTTATTTTTAAACTTCGACCGAGTGTTTAGATTTATAGTTTTTTGAAGTTTGTTTTATAATTTTTTGGTACTGAATGATTTCTTTTCGTTATTAAAAAATGGACAACCTTTTGTTCACTTTCTAAATCCTGCTGGCTATCAGCATTAAATTACACTTTTTATTGGTTAGTTAAATTATAATAATGTATTGTGGGTTTTTTAATATCAAAATTGGGAAATACTGACGTTAGTAAAATGAGAAGGTAATAGTAAGCTTAAGAGGGTGGGGTAAACACACAACTGCTTGTGATTATAAGTTATTGTACAAGCGAGATTGTTACTATTCGCTTAATTGTGCCATCTATTGAATTTTTTGAAAATTGGGGAAGAAATTTAATTTCACTATTTAGTTACGGAGTTTTTATTTGCACATTAAATAAAAGAAATTTTCTATGAGAAAGCAAAAAATCCAAAATATACTCACCATGTAAAAATCGGTCAGCATAACGAACGTCCTTTGATTCAAAATATCCAGCAAAAAAAAAAAAAGTGTTAAAGTATAATAATTATGCGATTATATGGGTAAAACATTCTGAACTATAAGACATTAAAGAATAATAAACTTAAATTTGTATCGCCCAGTACAATACAAACCAAAATGATTTCTGTTGCAGAATGCAGCAAGGGATATTATTCTAGTGATAGCACCCAAAAGATGTCGGGATATACAGTCTTGCCAATTATTTTTCATATGCAGGTGAGAAACTGGCCATGAAAATATGGCTCAACAAAGGGTAAAACTCAGGTGCTTAAACCAACAGTAACCCAGGCTTAGACTACCATGCACATTCCATGAACAATTGCAGAAATAGAATACTTAAAAAGTTATACATGAATATTGCAAAAGATATAATTTCGTTTGATAATACTGCTTAATTTGAATATATATATATATATATATATATTGAAGTTTGATAAAAACTAGTTTTATTGATGATTATCTAGGTCATGGAGAAAGTATAAAATACATCATTTTACCAAACATTAGGCTTTCACAGTAGATGGCATTTGATATTTTACACCAGTATTTGATTTTCAATTAGTCACATACACAAAGTGAAATTATTCCTTATAGTTAGGAGATTTAAGGCTTGAAATAATGCAAAATTCAGATATTTTTTGTTATGACTGAAGGAGTTTTGTGACTTTGAATTTTTTAAATTTTTATTGGTGTTCTATTTCAAATGACCTATGGGGGCCAGACATGGCCTAGTGGCTAGTGCACCTAAACTGTTAGTTCAGAGGTTCACAGTTCTTTACCACAAAAAGGTACTTTGCACTTAGGGGCTGTGTGTTTGTGCTGTAAGAGTGATGGATTTAATCCTGTTACTTAGTCAGACAAGAGTTTGCAGTGAGTACTATTGACTAAATTCCATGTTGAGTCTGTATGCTCAAAGTTATGAATGGCTGTGCACAGATAGTCCTTGGACTGACCCCGTATCGGAGAAGTAATATTGACTGTAATTCTCAATTTAAAAAGTGTATCTTCAGGAAATATAACAAGTTTTTAACCAACAGTACAAATCTGTTGTACACAAAAAATCAGATGTGCTACTAAAAATTTTTTGTACTAAACATATGTTTCCAAAATGCTAAAGTCAGTCTGAGTGGAACTTTTATAAGTATAATTGCAAGTTGATGTTCATGTGAAGAATAAAGGTTTTTTGTTTTCCATCATATTCTCAAGTTTTTTTGTTTGTTATTTTCAGTAACCCTGTATATTATATCTGGTATTTTCTTCACTGTAACACAAACTTTTGCAAAATTGGCAATTTAGGGTAACATGAAATGTTTAACTCTGACATCAAATGTATAATACCATGTTGAATGGCACTCTGTACAAGGTCAGAGCATGCACACTTCGGCCTACTCCCATGGATATAGGGTTAATTGAATATGTACAATATGGCATGTAGATTGTATTGGTTAAAGTTCATAAATGGCATGTAGATTATAAAAATCTTCAAATAGTTTTATTTTATTTTGTTTGTGAAATTTGTTTCTAGTTTTTGTTTTGCACAAGTTGATACTGCTAGTGGTGTTTCCTATATATAAACAAAAAATAAAACCTCATAAACAAAAATCGAATAAAAGATATGGAAATGTCAGTAGGATGCTTGTTTAACTTTTTAAGTGACCTGTTAATGGAAATAACATTTGTCTTCTATATTAATTTGTTGTCTTCATTGTAAAAGTACTAATTTTAAAAGAGTTTGAGTTAGCCATTATTATTATTATACTGCATAATAATTTCATTCATTAAAAAATATTATAGTCTGACATTTCACAAACTTAGCAGCTTATGCCATATTTTCTTAAAATCTAATGATCAATAAGTATTCAGGAGATTTATTATAAAGTAAAGCTAAGGATTGTTTTTATAATTGTAAAGGCAACTTTTATCAGGTGTAATCTGGCATCTAAATTACTGTCTCTGCCCAAAAGTTTATTAATAAATATTTAGTTACTTTCCTGAAAAATTAGTGAAATATTGTCAATTTTTTTTCTTTTGTATTTGCCATCTTTCTAAGTTATGATTATAACAGAAAAATAATGTATATTTACATGGAATGAAAAAAATATTCTAGAATTTTGAAATTGGAAATACACTTTTTGTCTTGCATGTGCATTTGAATGACATACCATATTTTTCGGAATATAAGATGCACCTTTATTTTGAAGACAAAGTTTTTGGGAAAAAAAGCTACAGTCGCATTTGAAAGATTTTTATTGAACAAAAATTAAATTTGATACTTTAAAAATTAGTATATATTGTTCTAAACACAAAAGAAAAAAGACTACTATTGTTATAAATAACACATTCAATTGAACTAAACTATGCATACCTATTTAAATATATTTGCACATGGCTTGTGTATATTGTATATATACACATTGTTACGTCTCCGTTTGTCAATTAACTTTCCATAACTTCGTTCCGACGAAACTTTAGCGACACAAGTCCTTACTTAATAAAACTGGTTTATTCTTTCTGAATATAACTTCACAATACACTTATTTTCAACAGTCGCTCTTTTTACAAACGTTTTAACAATGAACGTTAACTTCAACAATACGTCTCTCTCTGACTGCAGTTCAATTACTCATTACCTATACACACACACTATTATTCTTCCGTCACGTTGTCACCCTCTTTTATATACCAGACTACCCTATATCTAGTAAATGCTAGAGCATTCGCCAAGGTACAGAATAGTTCTAGAAACGTGGCGTGACACTAGTCATGTGACCTCACTGACGCAACAATATATATTATTCATACCTTTGGTGTATAGGACGCAAGCAGATTTTGACATCAAATTTTGGGGTAAAAAAAGTGTGTCTTATACACCGAAAAATATGGTACGTATCATTCAGAACTCTTCTGATTTGTTAGTCATTCAAAATTTCCTTTTTTTTTAAACTTTCTAATTGTGTAAAGCCAAAAAAGTAATAAATCAAATATAATTAAATAGATTCTAATAAACTAGCTTACTAATGCAGTAAAAACATCAACTTGATTTTTTGTTTCATTAAATTATTTTAGGGCTTCAACTGATGATACTGACGATGAAGGTCGTAAACTTCCACATAAAACCATCACTATTAACTGTGGGAGTTTGGTAAAGTCTATTGCTTTTGGGTCAACCATTTCAGATAAAAAACATCTATCTTCAAGAGCTTTCTGGACACATTTCAGTGTTTCTAAGGATCTAGTCCTCGCTACTGGCCTTAACAATGGTCGCATACGCACATGGGATATATCTACAGGTGAGGCTAGAGTAAAAAAAATGATGAGTATTTAAATCATTTACAAAGTCCTAATACTTATGGTGATATGAGAAATCTGTTTTTAATGTTCTTTTGTTTTAGTTATACTTTTTTCTAAAATCAAGGTAATTAGAATAACTAAACCAAATTAATTGTTTTTGATGGTTTTCAGGTTTTTGATTTGTGAGTAATTTTAGTCCTTCTTGTATTGAAAAATGATAGTGTTTCCAATTTTTCTAAAACTTTTAAAATCAAGTGTTTATCATGCTTTTGAAAAGGCTTTATATGGAGTAACTCTTTCATTTCTTAATGATTCTCTAGAGCATTTCACTTCTTACTCTAGCCTAATTTTGCTTACTATAAAGAAATTCTTAGTAGGGGAAATAAAAATATTAAGTTTTAATTTGAAAATTTTTTATAGCAAAATGAAGTTTTCTAAACGCAAAAAACTTTTATATGGATAAATATGTGAATTTAAGTTAGGTTTAGCATAAGTTATGCCTGATTAGGACATTAAATTAAATGATAGTGTATAAAGGCAAAGTTTAAGAAAGAAAACAAAAACATTAGGTACGATGGTAATAAAATCTAGGAAAACCTTAATTTGACACAACGTGTTGAGTCAAAACTCTTCTTCGGGTAATATTTGTTAGTCATTTATACAGAACACATTTGAATGTCACTAAAAAAAGGTAACAATAGGAGAATGTGTGAAACATGGTTGGAAGTTTGATGTAACAATACTGGGGAATTAATTGTTGTAGAGAAGTGATGTAAGTGAAAGAGAAACAGAAAGAAAGGTGTAAAGAAATATAAAACTGATATGTGAGGGATTATAGTTGGAAAATTCAGAAGATGTGGGAAATAACGATATGAAAAAGAAAATTTCTTGTTTAAACCATGCGGAGAAATTGTACCTAGAGTATAAATAAGGTGTTGTTCTTCACATTCACGTAAATAATGGTCTGTTGGTGCAGATCTTAGAACAACAAGTCTGATTTGTGACGAGTCATGTTTGTTGTCCAAAGAGTGTCTTGAGATTGGTAAGTCAAGATTATGATTTAACATGTATTGTCTGTGTTCAAGAAATCTGTTACTGATTTTGTGACCAGTCTCACCAGTGTACAGCAAGTTACAAAGGTCTAATAAACAGGTAAAATTATTTCTAATGTAAAAACGATTTTTGGGAAATGTTAATGAAATTTGATTGTTAGTGTGTTGACAAGTTACACAATGAGGTCTGTTAATTGCATGGAAAAGAACCAGGAGGAGTGTTGGGTTGAGTATAGTTAGTAAAGTTAACATGAACAAGGGTATCCTGAAGGCATTGATTGTGTCTAAAAGCAATAACAGGTTGTTCAGTAAAAATACCCTTAGTATTAGCTTGAAGAACTTTAAAGTTGTCCCTGATAATTTTGGTTATTTGAGAGGACACAGTTGGGTGATAAGAAATAGTTAAAATATGCTTATTATGTTCCGTCATTTGGGACAGTATCTCAAGAGTATTCTTATGAGGTTTTTCTAGATTTTATTACCATCATATCTAGTGTGTTTTTTCTTTCTTAAACTTTGTCCTAGATCTTCTGTGCAGTTTTTTATACATTTTTAGTGTCTGTATGCATTAGTCTATGATGTCAGTCTATTTGATTTGAGAAATGTAGAGTAAAATGACTGTAATATTCTAAGTCAGTTGTATTCTTTAGTCATTTAGTGTGTTTTATATTATGTTTGACAATTGGGGGGGGGGGAATTCAATACTTTTATGTGGAAATCCCTAAGAAATCTAACAAAAACAAACTGTTCTATTAAAGGACCCTACTGTAAATGTCTTACAAGCTCTAAAAATAATGTATAGATTATAAAAACTTCAGATTTATTCTAGGTAGCTTATGCATTTTGAATACCATTGAGCTTTAAGTGAATCATTGCTACTCATTTCTTAATTTAATTGTAACACTTTGTCATAAAAACTGTAATTTTAGTTAAGACTATTTTTGTTATTTTGCAGCTAAAGCTTAAGTGACTTCATGTAGAGTAAATAAAACTGGGAAAATTATATCCTATATGCATCAATACTCTGTTGAATATTTCCAGGACATTTAATATTGGAGCTTATGGACCATAGGAGTGTTGTAACTCATGTTGCTTTTGCTCCAAATGGTAGTCTAGTCTTGGCATCTGTGTCACAAGATACAACCATCAAGTTTTGGGATCTGAATGATGATGGAAACATGTTTAAAACTCTCAAGATGAATGGGAAAGCAGTGTATTCTTGTGCCTGGTCTCCAGATACCAAAACTCTGGCAACAGTAGGAATGTGTACATCTGTAAGTTGAAATTTTAACATTTTTTAAGTTGTATGAGAATGTATAAGTTGGTTAGTTAAAACAAAAAACTGTAATTTTACTTCTGCTCTACAAATGAGAGTAATTCTGGTATCTTTAGAATCGTAAATGTTTAACACATTGAAGTAAATGAAAATGTACATAAGCATTTATTAGGATTATAAAGCTCTGTACAGTGTTCAAATAACAAGCTACTGAGAATTTCCTTCAACTGTAACTATGCACACTTCAAAAGTAAAATTTCTCTAAAATCCATTCAGTAATGGTTCTGTATATATATAGATATATATATATATAATTTTGACATAATTATCAGAATTAAGCATTCATCTCTCAGTGTGTTAAAACAGCTCTGGTCAAATACACCTTTCCAGGTATATGTATGGGATACTAGCACGTTCATCCTGAAACTGCGACTCACTGGTCACAAACATGATGTTGTTGCTTGCGAGTTTTCTCCTGACAGCTGTCTTATAGCAACAGCATCATGGGATACACAGGTTTTTCTGTGGGATGCTCATACTGGAAAGAAACTAAAGTGTTTTGGGTAAGTCTTATGTAACTTACACATGGGGCATACAGTTTATTTAAAAATCTTTTCCTGTTTTTTGTAAATCTTCAAATTTTCAGTGAACTATGATTAATTTCTTTTAATCTCTCCAGCAACTAATATATTATCTTTAAAGATTGAAGTTATTGTACAGACACACACAGTAACCCTATGTGAATGACATTGATAGATTGCACAAACCTTCATTTCTGTGAAGCTATAAATAGCAGTGTATTATAATTCTAAATTTACTATGTGTATTTTTCATGAAATTTGGCAAGTGTTTAGTAAACATTAAATCTGTTGTACACAAAAAAATCTGATTATTGTTATTTTTTAATAAAATATTTTTATTAAAGATTTCTCTTGGAACTTACAATCGGTTTGACTTGGTCTCTCACTAGTGTGAGTGAAAGCTGACTTTCATTTTAAGAATAAAAATACTTTTTTTTCATCTTGCAATTTCATATTTCATTTGCATAACCTATATAACTTTCTAAATGAATATCAAAAGTTTATTTTCAGTGAAACTTTATATATTATCTGTTATTTTCTTTGCCTTAACTATAACTATCAAAATAAGCAATGTAGGGTAAAATTATAAGTTGGAAAATATGAAATAAATCTAAATTAATTTTTTCTTTTTAGTATGACTGCAAATTGTAATAGACAATTATACACTATTTATTCTCACAGTCAATCTAACAGACTTTCAAATATGAGTTAATTTAGTTTTATTTCCTTATAGCTGCACTTAGATCCTTTCAGAGTATGCTGAAAACCAGTTATTACAGCAAAATGGCTTTATGTTAACAAATGTTTGATTGCAAGCATGCCATGGTCATAGTATAAAATCATACCTTGCAATGAGCGTATTATGGTAGATAATTATAAGTAAAAAAATTTAACTTAATTTTTTTACTTTTAAATTTTCTTAACTAAAATGTCTCTAATATTTACATTTTAGTTACAATAAATAAATATCCATAACAAGCAAGAAATCTAAAGTTCAACCCTTTTGCTGTCAGAAGATGAAATGCTGAAAGCCTACTTCTTTGTAACAATGTTGGATGCAAAATATATATTTTTTTAAAATTCAAATATGTAACTTGGAACACAAAATATTATAATGTGTAAAAACTAGAATGTCTTAAAACTAATTTAACTGGCTATCTAACTAAGCTATAATTGGATTAAAAAATTCTGTTAACTGGTCAAGACAAACTATAAAGGCAAACAATGAAACTGAGGCTAAATATTTTTAAACCTTTCATATGAATACACTAGCTTCATAAAAATTTAGTAAAACAAAATATTTTTTTTATTGGTTATATATATATATATATAAAATCCTATAGCAAATGTCACAAGGATGTGATAGAAGGAGCATGGCATGTGAGTTTGACTTTCTTGTGCATATCTCACTAAAGCAAGAAGCTTGGAGGTTATAATGGGCAATTTGGAATGATGCCAAATTCATCGACATATTGATAATTATTGTTCAGTGAAATTTTGAATGTAAGTCTGTAAAAAAGGTTGACACAGGTGCACTTTCATTCCCCCCCCCCCCTCATGAACAGTACACAGGGATAAGAGTTGAAATTTTATGCTGCAGTAATATATAATACAGAGCTTTGTATAGCTGTCATAGTAAAAAGTTAATCATATGCACATATGGTTTTATAATTTTCATTTTTCTTTTCATAAATTTTTAAATGATATAAAATGTCTCATGAAATCATTTTTTATATGTTCCCATTCTAATTATAGCTGTATAAGTGAATATTATGTAATGCAAATATTGCAGTTCAGTCTCCAGAACTTTCCGTTACAAAAGAAATGGTAAACCTGGAGGATGTTTTAAATAAACCTAAACTTTACAATGAAGGTAAACATTTTTTTTTTAAATACATATATTTTGTATCAATATTAAAATGTTTTGACATTACCATACAAATTAAATAATGTAGAACTTGCATGTGCCAGTATGAAATTGTTTTCATCTCACTCATCTCTCACTTTTTCATTTGCATGGTTTTTATAACAAATATACACCTGGAAAAAAGTTAAGCACCCCCAAATATTTTTCAGGATTGCTTATTGAAAATAAGGTTTAATT